ACTGCTGTTTATATTAATGATTTTAGTAATGATGACCGAGACTATGCAAAAATTTCACCCGCTTCCATCTCGGCTCGTAGTGGATCAATTTGACTGAAATTTTCAGCAAATTACCTTTACACTATCTAGTTTTTAACTATTATAGCGAGAACTGCCATCTCTTTATCTTATCTCCCATAATGTATCTTTAATTATGACACTTCGTCTTTTAGTGAATATAGCATCACAAGAGAATATAGCCCACCATCAGTATAGTCGACAGTACTAGTTCTAAAATCAATGTCAACCATGTGTTACGATGACCTTCGGACGGATACGGTTCGTATTTATGTTTACAGACCAACAACCAGCAAGTTTGTAAAAAGGGTTTCCAAAGAGCGACCATTGTCTGTAATGTAGGAATATTTACAACTCTGGATATGGTCTCGGTCGGCCAGAACCTCATAGTCTTCAACGTTTGTTTTTTTGTTTTGTTTTGGGTTTTTTTTTTTTTGGGGGGGGGGGGGATGGGGGGGGATGGGGGGGGTCTTTGTTTGTTTTTTGTTGTTTTTTTTTTTTGTTTTTTTTTGTTTTTTAAAAAAAATTATTTTTGGGGAGGGGGGGGGGGCTTACCCGATATAGCATACAAGAGTGTGAACAATAATAAATACATATTTCTGCATTATTATAGTATTTGAAGGTTTAATGATATATTTTATTCTTAGTATTGCAATAAATAAGAATCTTACATACCGGTACTTTAAAATTTGTTGGGTTTATTTTTATTCTGACCTTATTGTCACGCATAATTCTGTCTATCAATCTTTTCTGCTATCATTAATACTCAAAAGCAAGGATATGCACTCTTTAACCTGATTCCTTAAGAATGTGTAGACCAAGACATATTATTATTTAGGTTCACTTAACTCAGGAAAAATAAAATACTGACATACAAATAAATAAAACGGGTGACAACAACTAGTAAATCAAACGCAGCTAGTGTTGACTGTCATGTCATTTTTAAAACAAAACAATTCTTTATCATATGGTTGCATATTTATTTTTTTTATGTGGTAAAATATTGTTTTAGACCTTGGGATATCTCAAAAGCTGTTTTTTTTGTTTTTAAAAATGTTATATTACATGTATATAATGTCTCTTTTTAAGATGGATTATAGTGTGGAGATAAATAATTAACAGGATATTCAGTCTTTGCAGTTTCCATGTGTAACGAGTTTATGAAACTCAATTAAAGCGACATTAAGTAAGCGCTAAATCTACCTATTGCAGGTCTTTTTTTCTGAATTCATGTTATATAAACTAATATTTAGTCTTTCATTCCCATAACAAGCCCATAAAAAACTCTCTTGGCCACCGAATGGCTTAGATGTTGAGTGGATTATGTCGGTGAATTAAATATTATTGTATTGTTTATTTTTCGTTTTCTGTCGTCTCCGGTTGCTGCCAGTACTGTTGCTCTCTAGTCTTTGAAAATCAATCTCCGGTTGCTGCCGGTACTGTTGCTCTCTAGTCTTTCAAAATCGGTCTTGTCCCAAAGTTATAGTCGCGAATGTCACTACTAAAATTCTATATAATTAGAAAAGATCCGATAGATGAGTAGTTGTAAAAGTGTCAGCCATTAAATAAAGTCATAAAATCCACGTGCTATTTTATCCAATATAAGGTAAATATCCTACATGGTCCGACGAAACGAACCGATTCTAATGTAACTCACGGAAAAATCCAAAGAAATCCACAAAACTTGGTAAGTTTCTTCTATTTTTGACTTTGCTGAACAAACCGATAACTAAATGTTCAATTTTCACACACAGTCGAGTCACAAATGGATTCGACAAACAAACCAAACATCACGCCCCCCCCCCCCCCCACACACACACAAAGAAGGATTTTAAAGCAACGTTCGGGTTATCGTTTATCTGTCAATAATTCCTTGTCGAGAGCAGATCGGCTGTTGAGTATCCCGATTTCCCGATTCAAGCAAGATGAGATTTGCGAACATGTCATTAATTTATCCCAAACCAAACAAGTCATGGTAAATTACAGACATATATGAATTTCGGAGATCAAGTTTTGAATTTTAAAGATTAGGCAGAAATAGAGCATGAGATAGAACAGTCAGTGGGACTAAAGGAAAATGTTGAATTAATGTCAATTAGACTACAGACTATGCTCGAATTATTGAAGTTGCCTAGCCCAACACCCATTACCAGACAGTCAGCAAGACCAGGCCAACCTTGTTACACATCCAGTTATTGGAATCGATCCAATGTCAACTAATTCAAGTAACCAATCTACTTCATCCACCCATGATCCAGTTGACAAGCAAGATACAACCCAAAATTCCACAGCCCAATCAACTGTAAACCCACCATCTTTTAGTGCTAACCCTGTAGCCGTAAACTTGACACCAGTCAACCTCACACCTGCATCAGTCTCATACTTTAATCAGTCAATCCACATAATTTTATCCAAACTAGACTCAAAGAAGTTTCGAGAAGATCCACCCAAGTGACAGACATTCTGGGATTCATTTACTACAGCCATCCATCATATTTAAAATCTTTCAGATATCGATAAGTTTAACTACTTAAATTTAGCCGTATCCGGATTTCCTTTGACTTCTCTTAATCATTCTGAAGCAATTTTTATTTTGCAGAGACGATATGGTAACCGCCCGCAGATTGTAAATCGCCATATGAACATTTTGATGAATTGCACCCGGTTACAGATATGAACAATCTGAGAGATATTCGTCAATTGTTTGACACTATTGAAGCCAATGTTAGGAGCCTGAGGACACTTGGTGTTGTCAAACATAATTACCCACACATTGGCACGTGAATTGCTACTAATTATTAGCCGGGAAATATCTGAAGAGGATTGGAATCTGGATCATTTGATTGGACTCATCAAACATGAATTGTCAGCAAAGGAGAGACGTCGCCAGTTCACAAACCTGCGCAAACCTCCGAATAATAACTATTCTACGTCTGCAGCCCTATTTATAATCAATCAATCCCTACCAACTTGTACTTACTGTCATAGACGACATGCATTCAACTCCTGTAAGAATATTACTTATATTCAAGCCAGAAGGGATTTGTTGGCGAAGAAAGGGGGATGTTTTATCTGTTTGCGTCGCGATCATTATTTTCCAATTATTTTCCAATTGAACCATCTATCGATACACTTTGAGTCGCCAATATAAGTGAAATGTCTTACAGGTTATACAATACCCGCCATATCTACGTTTACCGATAATATGGCAGAAATTTGTTTCTTATCGTGCAATGGTACTTGACAATCGAAATTATGAACTATCAATCGGCAATTGAGCACAACTGGACAACTGCAGAAGCCAATTCCCGTTGGCGCCAGATGAGCCATGAACGATTAGAGGCCTTTGAAAGTATTTTTTTTTTCAAGACATTTTTATAAAACAGATACTAATGTATTTTAGGGCTGGTAGTAAACACCATATGAATGAAAAGGAAAATAAATTGTTAGGTTTTTTTTATCTGCTACGGTTAAATATCTCCAAAATAGGGAAATTAAAGGTTAATTTCATGGGTTATTGTTTCCTTTACCTAGTTTTTGTCAAGTCGATTCCGGTCATTTTTATTTTTTGTATCAAATGTTGTGAGGTTGCTTGTTCACGTGAGCATAAATTTTTTAAACCCACCCCAGGAAAGAAGTAGCTATAGGGCGTCAAACTTTGGGTGACGAAAAATGGGGAATTTAGACAGGCTTTGATACATATAGTCCCTATATGTAGATCTCGTTCGCCAGAATCGTCTGAAGTTAATTTTGTGGTAACAGCAGTGAGTCATCTACAAACTGTGTGAGTTTGGTCTCTCTGCTACGTATAGTAAAGGTGTAAGGACTTGCCAAAGTTGGTATTTGAGAAAAGACAGATTTTGGTAATTTCACCATATGAAAAATATTTTTTCAGTTTTCTCAGGCAGGATTTGAAAGATTTATCTGATATTGCACATTTATGTGTTTTGGGACTATCCCAACTTATAAACCAAATTTGGTCAAAATCTGTGATTGAAGCCTTAGCACCTTCTGCATGGTTTTCTCGCGGACACGCTCTTAAGTGCATTGGCAAATTTGTAACATTAGCTCTACAATTTGAAGAAAATTTCTATATAGTGTTAATGTAATTAGTCACTGACAGTTTTATATGAAAAATAAAGCATATTAATAAGAATGTACGATTAATATAAAATCATATATTTTGATATCCTAAAATTCAGACATTTACTGAAAATGCAAATTTTGTTAATGTTACATAAGGACAGACATGGACATTTTATAAATAACTGGAATTATTGTTTTTATACGCAATGGAGCAAGCTTTAACTTTAAAATCGTACAAAACATTATTTTAAAAGCATGTGCTAATGTTATTGAAGGATATATACTATTTAGTATTTATACGTCCTCATTTTCATGTGGACGTATTATGCCGTCGCCCCTGTCTGTCCGTCCGTCCACAATTGTGACAAGACAAGACAAATATATGTAGTGGATGGACAAACCAGTCAATTTTTAACTGAGGTTTGAACAAATCAATTTTCAGATCGTTTTTTTCTCATCAGTATATTTTTATGTCTGTTTTAAAGAAGACACACTAACCATTATAATTATGCAAAAACAAATTAAAATAAATGTTATTTCAAAATATTCTAAAATCTTGGAAATGATGGGAAAAATGTCTATCTTAAAATATTTGTAATTTATTTTAATCAAAAAATGCATCAATAAACCTGCTGTTAAGTATTTTATATGGTTTTTTTTATGTGCTGATTTTGAAGATAAGAAAAAATATTTAATAGTTCTTTCCTTTTTCTAAAAAAAAAAAAAAACTGTTACGTTTGTTTAATACCCACTGGTACACTTTATAATAAAATATGCCATAAGTGTTAATATCTGTTTTTTTGTTGTTTTTTTATTGTAGGAAGCCAAGAAATGGCAAGAAAGAAAAGAAGCTTTAGAAGCTTTACAGAGGCTTGCTGATAATCCTAAGATCGAAAATGGAGATTTTGCTCCATTACTCAAATGTGTTCTAAAGGTAATAAAAGGTCCATTCAAATAGGTGTCACAACTCCATTGCTCGCGTTGGAAGAAAGTGTTTTTATACGCCCACATTTTCATGTGGACGTATTATGCCGTCGCCCCTGTCCGTCCGTCCACAATTGTTTGTGGACACTCTACAGGTCACAATTCTTATCCGATTTTGACGAAACTTGAAATATAGGTTTATCTCCAAAATATCTCGGCTGCTTTCGATATTGGCATGTATCGGATCGAAACTTCATGGATTATGGCCCCTGTTTGTACGAAAAATCACATTTTTAGCTTGTGGACACTATAGAGGTCACAATTTTTATCCGATTTTGTTGAAACTTGAAATGTAAGTTGATAACCCAAAGATCTCTGTTCATTTCGATATTCGCGCATATCAGACCGTAACTTCCTGAATTATGGCCCCTGATTGTACAAAAAATCACGTTTTTAGCTTGTGGACCCTATAGAGGTCATAATTTTTATCCGATTTAAAAAAACGTTTTATTATATCACCGTTACACCCTAAGGATGGCCGAGTTCGAATTTCGTGAAAATCGGCCCAAAATTGACAGACAAAATGGCCGCCGTTCGTTCTCAAATAGCGTAAAAATATGGTATATCAAGGTTGTGGACCCTATAGAGGTCACAATTTTTATCCGATTTTGTTGAAACTTGAAATGTAAGTTTATAACCCAAAGATCTCAGTTCCTTTCGATATTCGCGAATATTGGACCGTAACTTCCTGAATTGTGGCCCCTGATTGTACGAAAAATCGTGTTTTTAGCTTGTTCTCTATCCATCTCTCGAAAATGTGGGCGTATCCTGCCTGGCAGCCGCTGGTTTGTTGTTTTTTTTAATTTGTAACCTTTATTTAACTTAATCTCAAATAGTCCCTATTTAATCTTTTGTAATATTTTAACTGATTTTGAAAGCCGATATCTTATTGTTTGGTTTGATATAATTTTATGTACCTGATCTTTTTATTAATTTCATAATTATAGGTTGAAAAATGTCAATTTTGCGTGTTTTGACTTACAGTAACAAATTTTGTCACTTATAAATTGGACACTCAATATCAAAATTAATCAGTCAGCTTTAAATTGGACACAAGTACAAATTAGATGATTTTGGATGATTTTAAATGATTTTTGCAAATTTTTAAACAAAGATTTGATATTAAATGAATGTGAAAGAAATTAGTGCTAAATACACAAGATTAAATGATACCCGGGTTACAGTGTTAGTGACTATAGTGAATAAATGGGGACATTTGAGTAGGACTATCGGATGGATACCAATACTCGATGGTCACAAGACAATTTATTCAATAATTTATCATTATATAACAGCTATCATACTTTATATTATAATTTTAATTTCGTTGTTTTTGGTGAAATATATTTAACACCTATTTATATTTGTTGCCCAGTCAAACAAACTGAAACTACGTACCGTTGAAACACTTTGATATCGTTGAGGAAAATATACTAATCACAAAGGACAACACTATATTCAAATTTAACAACATTGTTTTATGTTTCAGGTTATTGCTAAAGATACCAATGTTATGTTGGTAGCCCTTGCAGGAAAATGCCTAGCTGGTATTGCTAAAGGTCTTCGAAAAAAGTTTGCACCATATGCAGCTAATGTGAGAATAAATTAAATTTTAAAGTTTTTGGGGGTCACAGTCGACGAGTAAATGATTTTTTGCAGGGGTCACAGTCTATTAGTGGATGAAGGACTGCCTTGATTTGGTTATATGCTTTTCAAATGACATAAAATGTATTCTAATGACAATCACTATTTTATTACTTTCAATTTTATTCAGTAACTAACGAACTAATTGATGGAGATTTGCATTAGACATTATTTCTCAAAAATGATGATTTTACTTTGTATTGCTCAGTAAGATATTGAGAATATAGCTGAAAATTAAATTGCTGCTATTAGCTGTTCTTTAAAGTTTAAAATACAATGTTTATAATGTAGATCATATATTTTAAAAGAATGAAATATTTATTAAATATAGAGTATGTCAACTATAATAGATAAATTTAAAGAGAAGAAACCAACAGTAGTAGCAGCTTTAAGAGAAGCTAGTGATGCTGTGTATCTTACCGTAAGTATTTATCTTATATCTATAGAACACTTTAGCATAGTGTGGCTATCAGAATTCAAATAATTATATCCTGTGTTGGCCTAGAAGTTCATCGGGATGTTCTGGCATGGTTCCCCCTTGTCGGTGATGCAGCACAGTGACAACATATAGTTGTTCAGATTGAACAAAAAAACCATCACGTGTACACATCGTCCTGCACGTAAAAGAACCCTTGGTACTTGGATTTCTATATAAAAGTAGGCTGTAGTGCAGCTTTCCAGGCAAAATTTCCTCAAAAATACTGTATGGTGTATGCCCGTCTTCATTAGTTGTAGCCCAGTCGCAGCAGAAAAGTAGTATGTTAAACTTCATTTTTAAGTTTATTAATTTGATTAATTCCAGACTAATTTAGAGGTGATGACTGAACATGCTGTGGCTGCATTAGAAAATAAAAATCCACAAATTCGAGCTGAGACAGCATTATTACTAGGTCGTTGTTTCTGTAGATGTACTCAATCTAGTCTACCCAAAAAGATGTTAAAAATATTTTGCACCAGTTTACTAAAGGTAAAATAACTATCTTTCTATTATTTAATAAACTTTTAGACTTTGCTGAAATATAGAAAATTTGTTGGAAGCTGTTTATGGGGTTTGACATTTAGTTAGTTCATGTTGTTTCACAGAGTTTGTAAGTTAATGTTGCATGTGCTCTATGTAATTGCTGGGACGGACAGGAAAATTAATGATGTGGGGGAATTTATTTTGAAATTATTTTAGACAGTAAAACCTATGTACAATTTTGTTTACCGTTCGTTTACACACATTCAAAATTTATTGTTCGATTGTATACAAAAAAAAACCGAGGTCCCATGTACACATTGGTGTTAACGTAAAAAAAACCAAAACCCCTTGACAATTGAAATTCGGTATAAGAGTAAGCAACAGCTCCACTGTCTGGGCAATATTTCCATCCCTTATAGCATACTGCATGGTGTATGCCCATCTTCATTAGCCCAGTCGGTGCATAAAAGTAGGATGTTAAACCCTAATTCATTTCTGTATATGCCTTTCTATTGTTATTGAATTTTGTAAAGATAGGAAATAATAAGTAATTGTATTTCCAGACTGTAAATGATACTACAGGGGAAGTGAGAGAAGCATCATTTCAAGCATTAGGTACAGCTATGAAAGTTGTCACAGAAAAAAATATAGCTCCTTTCCTAGTGGATATTGATCCTATTAAATTGACCAAGGTATTTATATTAATTCAGATTAATAATCAAATTGATGAAATAGATTTACTGTATTGCATCACATACACTATTGTTGGATCACTTGGAAAAATTCACAATTGAAAAAAAAATGTGTGCAAATATCACTTGCTTTTCTCCCATTACATGTAAAACTGTCTTCAACTGCAAAGTGAAAAAATAAAATTGAACAAAAATCATTAATTGCATATAAAATTTACTTTCTTCCAGATTCAAGAATGTTGTACTAATGCTGTACTGTTAAATGCTAAAGGTGAACCCCGAGGTGGAGGAGCAGCAGCTGCACCCAAAATGTCTGAACCAAAAGTTGTTAAACCCAATAGTGCTAAAGTTACCAAGGTATTATTTGTTACTAATGTTGGAAATAGAATTTCTAATAAAAATCTAAAATTCTGGTTTTATTAGTTGAAATCAAATATGACATCTTTGAATTGGGTTAAGGTATTGAATTGAAAGTGATGCTAAAGCTGGATAGTTTACATTCAAACTAAAAAAATTGAAGTGGGATGGACATTTTAAATTTCAAACTAAGTCAAATTAGGTCTAGTAGTTATTTTACGGTAAAATAGATGTACGGAATACAAAATGACATTGCCAAGAGAAAATGTTTGAAATTGCTTTTACAGAACATTTCAGATCCAATATTAATTCCACTATATTATTATATCTTTCAATGAAGCAGACGAGAAGATACGGGGTTTGTTTTAATACATCTGTGTATTTCTAGAAGCAGTGTGTTCATATTTTCATTTAAAGCTTAATGTTCACATATTGTATGGTGCCAGTGTTATAGATGTGTTATATGTATAAGGCTACTGAATTTAATATTAACTGGGTGGGGTCGAACACAATGTTTTGTAGAACCTCTCCCCTATTCCCCCATCTACGAATTAATATGTATTTTATTCACCCTCCAGCAATAGAATTGTAAATAATAACAGAGCATTTTTTTTTCAAAATTTCCATAACCCAACCACCAAATCATTTTATAAAATGACGATCCCATGTACCCAGTTAATTTTAAATTGCCTTTGATATTGTGGTTTATTTGTTAGATATTTTACTGTAAAAAATATAGAATCCAGATAAGAAAAATCCAGCATTCTAGCTGTGTCATCAAAGATCTGGACATTGTAGTTATAAGAGAACAATTGCTGTAACTGATTTGTTAAGAAAGTACATAAATTTGAATTTTTGACATACAACATTTAGGCTAACAGAAATGACATCATCTCTGCGATCATTCAATTTCCTACCTGACTACTGGAAGTTCTGTATGTTAAATTTTGGATCAAGATTTTTAGTGGAATGAGATAAAGCAAAACTTTCTGTATTTTCTTTGGTAAAATATTGTAAGCATATACATGGTTTTCTTTCACATTTGTTTATTTATTTGTTGTGTTTTCAGCCTCCAGAATCTAAACCACCAGTACGTACTCTTTATGTTCTTTAGTTATTTTTGTAAAATATTCTATTGCAATCTGATTAAAACACAGATCCTATTTCGTTTCGTTTTTATAGTTCAAAATTTCATTTAACTTGTCTTTACTACACTTTTATCTGGAAGAGTTGTTATCATAATCATTGACGTATTCAGAATAATGTGAGCTATTAGCCAATGAAACGGTCGGTTACGGCAAGCTTTAGGCGTGATTTGCATGCAACTGTGGGTAATCCACTAGTAACACATCAATGCTGATTGGTTAATCAAATGTCTGACGTCATAGGGTCAAAAGCCGCTCGTATGACCTCTTACGCGACCTATCGCTACAACCGGCCAGATCTTCATGTAGTGTAGGCCATCGAAAGTATAAAAAAAAACGAAACGAAATATAGATCTGTATTTTAATCAGATTGATTATATTGTGTATCTCACAAATGAAATCTGTGGATCACTGACAGCAATTTAGTTATTGTGCTTATATGTGTTCACTGCCATACAGTTATTTTTAAATTATTATTCTTGAATCCTTATAGATGTTGGCACATCTAATTAACAAGCCTATCTGAAACCATCATTAGCAACTCATGTACCCCCCCCTTTTTTTAACTTCCAATACCAGCTCTGTTGGACTGAACAGAACAGCATTTTATGTGCCAAATAACGATTGGTTAACAATGGTTTGATTTACTGTGTAAAATTTACAGCAAAATTAACCTGGAACAAAATTCATTCTAAACCGACTAAAATGTATTTATTTAAACAGGAAGTAGGAAAAAGGAGGTGAAACAAACTATAGGATTAGCCAGTAGACTATAAGCAGTCAAAGTTAGACAGGAATTATACTTATTGATACATCATGTAGATTTATCAAATGCTAATGGGTCACCTATTTTATGTTATAATGCACTTATGTAATGTTGTTTTGTATTTTCACTAGTCTGACACCGGCTCTAAACCGGCTTCTAAACCTAGTGCTGTAAGTAACACATAGTAGATATAACCTTTATTTATACACACGTCCACTAGCACTTACTCATGTATTTCTAAATTCTATGATAGTTGTTAATTCTAGAACTAAGATAAAGCTTATTTCCTCCATCTTCAATAATTGAAACATTTGAAATGAAATGACATGGGGGATTTAAATGACAATACAGAGATCATTTCTACGATAGATGCGTTATGATGATTAAAAAAAACGGAAGTGACGAACGCAAAAGGAAAACACAAGTTATCCTTCTATATAACTGACTGGAGTGACAAGTGATAACATATACACTGGCGAATTTCTGCCCACTAATAATTCCTTCAAAGACCAAAAGTTGTTATATGTGAATGTGGAAGGATATCTGACAATTCAAAAAATGAATTGACTGTCACTAGATAAGAGAAAATGAAAGTGATTTGAGTCCGCGTGCTTAGTCCTGTTGAGTGGATATTCAACCCCCTGTCCACTTCTTTCTGATAAAAGTTTACAGATAAATTTCACATGCAATTCTTAATAAAAGATATATATAATAATATTATCTACAGGGAGGTAAAAAGAAAGCACCAGTTAAAGGTAAAAGGTATCAAGCATTAAAACCAGAGCACAAAATTGATAGTAGACAGTATGTACTCTTTGCTGTATCAATTACTTTAAAATAGAACTACACATATAAAACTTACAGATAATGCATTTTCGATAACTTCTTCTTTACTTCCACTGTATGGCAGTGAACACATATAAGCACAATAACTAAATTGCTGTCAGTGATCCACAGATTTCATTTGTGAGATACACAATATAATCAATCTGATTAAAATACAGATCTATATTTCGTTTCGTTTTTTTTATACTTTCGATGGCCTACACTACATGAAGATCTGGCCGGTTGTAGCGATAGGTCGCGTAAGAGGTCATACGAGCGGCTTTTGACCCTATGACGTCAGACATTTGATTAACCAATCAGCATTGATGTGTTACTAGTGGATTACCCACAGTTGCATGCAAATCACGCCTAAAGCTTGCCGTAACCGACCGTTTCATTGGCTAATAGCTCACATTATTCTGAATACGTCAATGATTATGATAACAACTCTTCCAGATAAAAGTGTAGTAAAGACAAGTTAAATGAAATTTTGAACTATAAAAACGAAACGAAATAGGATCTGTGTTTTAATCAGATTGCAATATAATATTTTACAAAAATAACTAAAGAACATAAAGAGTACGTACTGGTGGTTTAGATTCTGGAGGCTGAAAACACAACAAATAAATAAACAAATGTGAAAGAAAACCATGTATATGCTTACAATATTTTACCAAAGAAAATACAGAAAGTTTTGCTTTATCTCATTCCACTAAAAATCTTGATCCAAAATTTAACATACAGAACTTCCAGTAGTCAGGTAGGAAATTGAATGATCGCAGAGATGATGTCATTTCTGTTAGCCTAAATGTTGTATGTCAAAAATTCAAATTTATGCACTTTCTTAACAAATCAGTTACAGCAATTGTTCTCTTATAACTGCAATGTCCAGATCTTTGATGACACAGCTAGAATGCTGGATTTTTCTTATCTGGATTCTATATTTTCTTCAGTAAAATATCTAACAAATAAACCACAATATCAAAGGCAATTTAAAATTAACTGGGTACATGGGATCGTCATTTTATAAAATGATTTGGTGGTTGGGTTATGGAAATTTTGAAAAAAATGCTCTGTTATTATTTACAATTCTATTGCTGGAGGTGTGAATAAAATACATATTAATTCGTAGATGGGGGAACAGGGGAGAGGTTCTACAAAACATTGTGTTCGACCCCACCCAGTTAATATTAAATTCAATAGCCTTATACATATAACACATCTATAACACTGGCACAATACAATATGTGAACATTAAGCTTTAAATGAAAATATGAACACACTGCTTCTAGAAATACACAGATGTATTAAAACAAACCCTGTATCTTCTCGTCTGCTTCATTGAAAGATATAAATAATATAGTGGAATTAATATTGGATCTGAAATGTTCTGTAAAAGCAATTTCAAACATTTTCTCTTGGTAATGCCATTTTGTATTCCGTACATCTATTTTACCGTAAAATAACTACTAGACCTATTTGACTTAGTTTGAAATTTAAAATGTCCATCTCACTTCAATTTTTTTAGTTTGAATGTAAACTATCCAGCTTTAGCATCACTTTCAATTCAATACCTTAACCCAATTCAAAGATGTCATATTTGATTTCAACTAATAAAACCAGAATTTTAGATTTTTATTAGAAATTCTATTTCCAACATTAGTAACAAATAATACCTTGGTAACTTTAGCACTATTGGGTTTAACAACTTTTGGTTCAGACATTTTGGGTGCAGCTGCTGCTCCTCCACCTCGGGGTTCACCTTTAGCATTTAACAGTACAGCATTAGTACAACATTCTTGAATCTGGAAGAAAGTAAATTTTATATGCAATTAATGATTTTTGTTCAATTTTATTTTTTCACTTTGCAGTTGAAGACAGTTTTACATGTAATGGGAGAAAAGCAAGTGATATTTGCACACATTTTTTTTTCAATTGTGAATTTTTCCAAGTGATCCAACAATAGTGTATGTGATGCAATACAGTAAATCTATTTCATCAATTTGATTATTAATCTGAATTAATATAAATACCTTGGTCAATTTAATAGGATCAATATCCACTAGGAAAGGAGCTATATTTTTTTCTGTGACAACTTTCATAGCTGTACCTAATGTAAAGGGCAGGGCGAGAGAGAGAGAGAGAGAGAGAGAGAGAGAGATGCGGTTTAACGTCGACTCGACACAACTTAGGTCATTTCAGGACTAACATATGGTTCAATTTTATTTCAATAATTCGCTTGCGCGTAGGGGTCTTTAGCAGTGGGGGGAAACCCACGAGGTTGGACAGGCGACCCTACTCCTTGTCACGTACAACCGGGGATTCGAAACCACTCAATGACAGGCAGTATGATACAGCACGCACGTGCTGACCATTCGGTCATGGCAGGGTAAAGTGTCTTTAGCAGGAATTAAACCGGGGGACGCGCAGAAAACCCACGAGGTCGGACAGGCGACCCTACTCCTTGTCACGTACAAGCGGGGATTCGAAACCAAGCCACTTGATTCAATGAAAGACCTTCTGATCCAACGCACACGCGTTAACCATTCGACCAACCCAACCCCCAAATTTTGCCCAGACTGTGGCGCTACGGCCTACACTTATATCGAATTCCACCTGCCAAGGGTTCTTTTACGTGCACGCCAATATATATACGGGACCTCGGCTTTCCGTCTCAATCGAACGACTGGCTATACGCTGGCCCTTACCAGAACTTCTGTCCTGCACCACTGACAAGGGGGAACCACGCCAGAAAATCCTAATGAATTAAAATTTCTCGGTCAACAACGGGATCGATCGAACACTTGTATTAGTTTTCAACGAATTCCATAATAACCCACAAATGATCTGCCCATTGTTATTAAACGAGGCCAATCCTCTAACGGCAACATTTACTAAATTGGCCGTCAAGGAAGACTAGACGACATTTTCCTTGAAGCCAAGCTGAAAAATCCCGAGCAACGTTCTTGGCCAACATCGGGATCGAACCCGGTACCTGTTGGTTTGTGAGCATACATTTTTGTTTATAAATAATGTCTATATAAAACTGAAGATATAAAACATATAAAATAACGAAGTCTCCCTAATGCTGGTCTTGCACAGTTTCGCAAATTGTGGAGCTTGGCAGTTGGAATTCGATATAAGTGTAGGTCGTAGTGCCACAGTCTGGGCAAAATTTGGGGTTGGGTGGCCGAATGGTTAACGCGTGTGCGTTAGATCAGATTCGAAGGTCTGTCATTGAGTCAAGTGGCGTGGTTTCGAATCTCCGCTTGTACGTGACAAGGAGTAGGGTCACCTGTCCAACCTTGTGGGTTTTCTACGGATCCCCCGGTTTAATTCATCCCACTGCTAAAGACCCCTACGCACAAGAGAATAATGGAAATAAAACTGAACCATGTTTTAGTTCCGAAATGACCTACTTTGTTCCGAGTGGACGTCAACCCCCATTTCTCTCTCTCTCTCTGGACAAAATGTTCCTTATGGCACACCGTATGGCGTATGCCCGTCTTCGTTATCTCACTCATTTCATTTATTTATCTAAATGTTCACATCTTATTGCCATACTATACGTGTTGTAAATATTTATTTTACGAAGTATCACTAGTCTCTCTTGCGTCAATGAAGTCGTGTTAAAATTTCTGTATTGCGAGGTGTGTTAATTGTAGATTTAATAGTACGACAATACCAACAAAACAACTTGGGTACACTATAAAAGTCACGCACTGAATCGGTCTGCTATATCACTTCGTTGGAAGAGGACGTTAAATTAAGCTATTTCACACACACTCAGTCTATTTAGGACAAGTTAATTAAATAGCTCTATTTATCGAATCTACTACTTCATAACGAGCTTTCTCAACAAAGCATTAAACTAACACTTCAAATATAATTTTCAATACCTGCTTCAAAATCTGAAGACCTTTTATATTCAAACATCAAGTTTTAAGTCTAAGCTTATGTTATGGCTATGACATTTACATTATTCCACCAAACTAAACTGTATTTCTTTTTTGTACAGTGCTTGAACCGAGGACCCCATCTCTGGCTGTACCCGTCCTAAAATTGTAATGGATGTGCTCGAGAAAAATTTAAAACAGATAAAACAAAGAGAGAGAAAAATGTTTTGTTTTTTTTTTTGTTATTTCATTAATTCACTAAAGTCCACCCGACACAAACTATGTCATTTCGCGACTAACATATGTGGTTCAATTTGATCTCAATAATTCGCTTGCCACTATGAACTAATTCACGTTAAAAGGTGTATCAGTTCAAATAAACCAGGAAAATGTTAAGAATGTTTTTTTTTTTTTTTTTTTTTTTTTAAAGTGAATTTATGAAATAGCTTTAAGTTTATGACAAATGTTGTCAGCTAATTATTTAAGAACATGTGTGCTTATGACAGCTGTATTGGTTGCACTGCGGCAGAATAGGTCAGTTCGTTCATAACCGTGAATCAAACAACGAATGCCAACCTTGATCTACATGTTTAACCGTATCAGCTAAAGGTAGCACTGATGTGGAGGACATCAGTCCTCGATATGAACTTTTTTTTTCTTCTGAACATTAAATTTTAAATCAATATTTTGGTTTAAATAATAAAGGTGTTTGGGGTATATCTGGATGAAAACAATACTTCCCATTTAGTGTAAATGGATACATAAAATATTACCCGGAGGCGTAAAATGACTAAAAGGCCCAAATTCTGCATGGACCAGTTTATATTACTACGTACAAAGTAAACAATGCATGTGTTATAGACGCCATAATTAATGCGTTATATTGGCAAACAATATGATGTGGGGTCACACGTATAACTATACTTCATGTGAACTTAAAAGCCAGTTATCTTGAGCAATATTAAAACAAGGCTTTCGCATTACCACTGTGAAACCACGTGTCTCTTGTCCTGGAGGCATTTTTCTTGGGGCGTGTTTTCGCGGGTTTAATTGATTGAGCTTTCAAACAAACGGAATGAAAATAGGTCTTGATGCGGCGAGGAATCCTTTCAACACAGTTGTATTCTCTGCGTCTGACGTCTCGCTGCCCGTTGGTTGAGCGACTGAGTCAGAGGTCGGCCTTAACCTCCTGTCGCGGAATCACAAAATGTCCTACCAGTCTGCTAGGAATTGCTTGTACGCGTACACACAAACGCGTTGTGTCGACGGCATCTCTTCTGGTAGTTCAGCTCCGAACGTAGGTCACGTTACACTCGCCCTGTATTTTCAGGAACCGTCCAACTGAATCCTTGTCGAAAAAGTATCGGCCCACGCTAAATTTTCGCTTAAGCGAGAAGCATAAGGTTTGCTATCTCTGGAGGTTTGCTACTGAGGACATGCTCTAAAAGGCACCATTTACAGTCACGGGGAAAAAACCTCTGTCCCCCTGTCCGTCCTTGTTAAAAGGAATTCATACTATTTATTAACTAATGTGTTACCACACGTTGCACGGGTAGAGTTAATCACCAATTTTTTCAACATTCATAGTAACGCGATAATCATTATATTGTCAATTTTATAAAATAAATAGCTCCATTAAATTTCCTGTTAAAAAAATGGTTATTGTAAAGTTATTCTAAATTCACTTTCTTTCGTGGTGGTACGTCTCAAGAAAACATACATCCAACTCACAACCCGTTGTACATGTTTTGACACGCACGGGTCGTAGGATTTGGTAGTTCGCAGTGCAGCCGCAAGAAGCCGGGCGAAAATTTGGTTTGTGCAGGACCAAAAGTCTCTACGGCCAGTAGGCGATCTTCTTCAGTGACGATCACACGCAAGTGATGCGTAAAATTTACTAAAATTCCCCCCGTAGACTGCCCGTAGTAGCACGTACGGATTGTGAGCTAGGCTTTAGGCAAGTTTAAGTAGCTACGATCCAATCGCAAGTTCTCCGTTGAACATCCTGGGAACCATGTTGATTTGAATTGGATAAAACTGCCAATAATTATTATAGTTATTTTCATCATTAAACACTGCACAGAATCATTAGCACCATTAAATGTCTGGTACAGGAGAAATTGGTTATTATGAAATTATTTGGAAGTTTCTGACATTAATAGGCATGTTATTAATTAGTTTCGGTTAAACATGGACAATAGATGGGTGTTTTCCGTTTGTACGTGACACATAGCAGTGTCGCCTGTCCAACCTCATGGATTTTCTCTCGATCCCCGGATTCCTTCCACTGCTAAAGACCCCTACACGCAAGCGAATTATTGAGATCAAATTGAACCACATGTTAGTCGCGAAATGACATAGTTTGTGTCGGGTGGACTTTAGTGAATTAATGAAATAACAAAAAAAAACAAAACATTTTTCTCTCTCTTTGTTTTATCTGTTTTAAAATTTTCTCGAGCACATCCATTACAATTTTAGGACGGGTACAGCCAGAGATGGGGTCCTCGGTTCAAGCACTGTACAAAAAAGAAATACAGTTTAGTTTGGTGGAATAATGTAAATGTCATAGCCATAACATAAGCTTAGACTTAAAACTTGATGTTTGAATATAAAAGGTCTGCAGATTTTGAAGCAGGTATTTAAAATTATATTTGAAGTGTTAGTTTAATGCTTTGTTGAGAAAGCTCGTTATGAAGTAGTAGATTCGATAAATAGAGCTATGGATTGAGTCATTCAGTAACTAAATGACAAGGGAAGGAAATGGTGGGGCGGTTTAAGGTTCTAATTAACTTGTCCTAAATAGACTGAGTGTGTGTGAAATAGCTTTATTTAACGTCCTCTTCCAACGAAGTGATATAGCAGACCGATTCAGTGCGTGACTTTTATAGTGTACCCAAGTTGTTTTGTTGGTATTGTCGTACTATTAAATCTACAATTAACATACCTCGCAATACAGAAATTTTAACACGACTTCATTGACGCAAGAGAGACTAGTGATACTTCGTAAAATAAATATTTACAACACGTATAGTATGGCAATAAGATGTGAACATTTAGATAAATAAATGAAATGAGTGAGATAACGAAGACGGGCATACGCCATACGGTGTGCCATAAGGAACATTTTGTCCAGAGAGAGAGAGAGAAATGGGGGTTGACGTCCACTCGGAACAAAGTAGGTCATTTCGGAACTAAAACATGGTTCAGTTTTATTT